GGGAAAATTTTCCCAAAAAAGCAGCCTCGTGGGGACCGCAGTGAATCGTGGGGACCAATGCCCAGTCCCCACGGGTCCAAATGCAAATGACGGGTGTGGGGTTAGGTTTAGGACCAGGGTTTAGGTTAATTTTAGGGTATATGGTCAGTCAGGGTTAGGCTATAAAGTCTAAAAAAATGAATGGAAGTCAATGGACGGTCCCCACAGTGTTCAAGAATAAACGTGTGTGTGTGTGTGTGTGTGACTATTAGTCACTGTTTTTAAGTTGTTTAATTGTTAGTAAAACCAGGATTGCATTGATGAGTGAAATACCAACACAGCCATTGAGTATAATTGGTTCATTTTGGTTGTTTGAGATGTGACTGTGGGTCTGTGTGTGTCTGCGTTAGCAGGCGTCTACTCATTCCTTCTGTAAAAGTAAACAAACAATAARTGGTAGCTTTACCTTTTTCAGTGTTTCTATAGATGTTTGGATTAAATTACAATAACAATAAAGGGACTAAACTATGACACAACTTATAGATGGTTCTCAATGACGTCATCATCTGGGACTTTTTACCCTCCGCACCCCATTCGTGGGCTAGCATTTAGCTTGTAGCGATAAAACCAGTATTGACCCTTTGCACGTGACGTCACGCACCTCAGACCACCCCTTTTTTCCATGATGAACGGCAAAAACAGACATGCGTCCATAAGCTACTATTGAGCTACTATCTACTAACTATTGAGAATCAGGCAGTTGGTAGCCTAATATCGTTCTTCCCCTCTGTAGATTTAGCTGTAAAAATGGTCGTCAGCTGCTGCGCAGTCGTCCGGTGGACCTGAGTGTCTCTCCGGTTTCAGACCAAGCAGTAACTGGCTGAAGACGCAGCGCTGCTGATTCTAAAATATTATAATCTGTCCGTCTGAACACCCGCTGCACTCCATGTCATAGTGAAGATATAAACAACAGTGATAGCTGGAAATATAGTTGTTTTTACTCAATATTGAATCGGTGTTGTAGTGAAAGGTCGGAGGAGGAGAAGCTTTTTATTTTTATTTTTTCATGTTGATTGAGTAAACACCAGTTGCGCATTCAGGTTGTCATAAAATCAGACCAGATGATCGTCAAAGCTGTTCATCTTTTTAATTTAACTGGGAATGGATCATTTCAGCTAAATATCCAAGAGAAAGAAGGGCAGCTCAGAGTGCTGTTGTTCCAGGAGCTGGTTAGAAGAGAAGCTACTAGTTTGCTAGCCRGCTAGCTGTCGTCGGCTCTAAAAGCCATCCATATGTACAGATATGAACCAATCACACAGAGTGGAGAAAGCACTGCTCAGAAAGAAGATCTGATTAAGAAAATAAGTAAGAAAGCATCTCAGACTGGATTCATAACGTCTGACGCTAACGTTAGTATACAGCAGGTAAAATAAGTATTGAACACGTCACCATTTTTCTCAGTAAATATATTACTAGAGGTGCTAATGACATGAAATTTTCACCAGATGTTGGTAACAACCCAAATAGGGCTGCCACGATTAGTCGAT